TGCTAAAAGCATTTTTGTATAAATGGGCCTACTTACACTACATTCTTCCCACGAGCCGAAGTTGTTGGCATTACCATGACATCCTCGCCACCAGAAGGCAGCGCATTGCTTGGTATTGTAGTCGTACCAATATCTAGCCTGTGGAACGTCACATCTCAATGGTCCCTCGATCTTAGGCAAGTAGCATCGCCCTGCAATAATATTGTAATGCACACTAGGGCCACTAGTCAGATCAAGAAACGAACTTACCGATACCAGGTGGCTCAACGCATATCGTCTCACATTGCTCTTTAGTGGCAAACCTGTTGTCATTACCCTCACAACCTCCATACCAAAATTGTGAACAACGTCCTTCGGTGGTGTCATAGTACCATACCTAAAAATTGTGATTTTTCAAGGTTTCTGTCAAAAATGTTATGAATTCTAGAAACGTACCAGTTTATAACCAGAAGCACACACTGCTCCCTGATCTTGTGGCAGAGCGCATGATGAGATTTTTGATGGAGCAACAGTTCCGCCAAGAAGGAACGGCGCCAAAGTTGTAGATGGACATCCAGCATAGTCGGGGCCAATGGCTTTACTTTCGCCATCTGGACAGCAGCCATACCTGTATAAAGAATTTTCTCGGCAAAAAGCTACAATTTTATGAAAATTTTCGCCTTATTAAAAAGAGGTAATTTCATAATTAAAAAAAGCCTTAAGAGGCTTTTTTCAACTTCAAGAATAAGCCAACCTGAGTAAAAATCAATACTACTTTATTCCCTTCAATATCTCGATTTTTGCATGGCTCTTTCAAGGTTTCCGTCAGTTATTTCTCAGGAAACTCACTTCGCATATCTGCAGTCATCACATCCGTCATTTCTTGGTCCCAGTGCTGTAGTTTCTCCATCTGGGCAGCATCCATATCTAGTATACTGACATGGGCAACCTTCTTTGTGCGATCCTCTAGCTGGGGTCTTTCCATCAGGGCAGCATCCGAATTGGCCTAGAGAGCTTAGAATAGAACTCAGA